TGTTACTAATTAACAAGAATATTTAATTACCAACATATCTAAAATAACCATATGTTTTAAGATAGGCGACTAATATATTGATGAAAATAATAGAATGATAAATATTATTCAAAAATATTTCTTATGTGGAAAGTATGATTTAGATACGCGATATTTTTCATAAAGTTCGTCAAACATTTTTTTACCAAATTTTGATTGTTACAAGCTTAATCCAAAGTCAAATCTAAAAAAAAATATTATCTTCTTCCTTTTATTTGTATTATTAAGGGAGTGAAAAAGAGATAGATAGATAGGGGGAGAGAGAGAGAGAGGGAGAGGGAGAGCGGAGAGAGAGAGAGAGAGAGAGAGAGAGAGATATGAAATTTATGTATCTCATTCAAAAAATATTGAATTTTAAAATAATTAACATTAATTATTAAAAAAGATCTTCTTAAGATCTGTAGTATTAACCTAAATAAGCACAAAACATCCTGAATATATTTAAGATAATAAAGAGTGCTCCAGGCACCTTGTGCTCTTTGATACGTGACTGCATTAAACGCAGTGGTGCAAGTTACTATGGCATACGCCGATTGGCTAAGCGTTTCAATCGACTGGCTTGCCGCTACAGAAGAATGAGGGTCGTCGTACGACTTAACCACAGATAAGTCATATCTTTATTTTATCAAGTAGTGCAACAAAATGATGATAAAGAGTTCTACTTTTTCAAATAGTACACAATTAGCATAATAATTTGGAGGATGCCAAATACCGATATAGTGCAAGTTTGCATTGTTTCCCATTTTTTGCTTGCATTGAATTGCAAATGCTTCTACATACTTTAAAAAAACAAACGTCAATGCATAGATAATAATTCATCTATTTCCCCTTCGTATAAACTCTTGAAAAATAAAAAGTTTGGTAAAATTCCCCTTTAGAAGAGGAATCAGCTCCAATAGCCTTGATCTTGACATATGTTATAGAGGTCACTCTTTTGAGAAACCATTACAAAGTTTTACCTGGTCGACAGATTGCGTCGCTCGTTATTCATTAAAAAGTTATTAACAAAAGAAGTTGCATAAAATGAATGTAATTTTTGGACACTGTATGTACAAAAAACATCGAATTTCTAGACTAGGAAGGTGCCAGCCACGCGCATGTACATACACACACACACACACACTGCTGGCCCGCTCACCCGCCCGGGCGGGTTCGTGGTGTGCGCGTATGTTCCTATTATATTTGAAGTTTTATAAATTGAATGTAATTTCTCCCACACATTAATTTATGCAGTGTCACAAAATTACAGTGTGTGTGTGTGTATGTGTGTGTGCGCGCGTGTGCGTGTGTGTGCTAGAGGTAGGCACCTTCCTAGCCTACAAATTCGATGTTTTTGTATACACGATGTCCAAAAATTACATTCATTTTATGCAAATTTTTTTGTTAATAACTTTTTAACGAACAATGAGCGACGACTAAAACCTTCAGAAGGTCACTCAGGAGAGTGACCTCTATAATATATGTCAAGGTCAAGATCATTGGAGCTGCCTCCCCTAAAGGGGAGTTTTATCAAAAGTTTCATTGACGAATTCAATAAAACTTATTATTTTTTTTCGAATTTATTCGAAGAAAATAGACATACGATATCGATTCACAGCCTAGTGCTACAATTTTAAAACGTAATTACGATCATAAACGATTGTAGGTGATCCCTAAGAAAAATATGGGTCATTTCCAAGGATCGAGATCATGGAGGGACACACGTACAAAGCATAAAAGATACAATGACACAGAAATTAAAATACCAGATTTTTTTACTTTTTTTAAACGAAATAATGAAACATTAGTTTGTTTGAGCCATTACAATGGCGAAATTTACTTTCTTATAGGAGACATTGTCGGTACATATTGAGGAAATGAACATGAAGAATATCAAAAAACGTAAATGCAATGTTGCTTATAACATTATGATCACATCTAATTTCAACATTACTAATAAATCTCTAGATCAGGACCAAAGTTTGTTCATAATTATGTTCTTTACAATGTTAAAAACATATTTGTAAATATTACATGTTATTGTATAACATTGTAACAACATTGCTATAATGATTTCTTGCTTATTGAAAATCATCACACCTGCCTGCTTTTACTGGGAAGAAATTTCTAAAGCTTTCTTCAAAAGTAATATATGTGTGAAGAATTGACTCATTTGTTGATTGTTAGAATTCCACAGAGTATGCACTTAACTGACCCCAGATAAAGATATTTCGGCATATTATCTACTCAGAAATTAGCACAAGTATGTAAAGAGATGTGTTGTTACACAACATAAAAAAAATTGCAGTATATAAAAGAAATCTGATACTATAAATATTGCTTATTATTTCCGGGAAGAGAACACAATTAATTCAGAATTATTGCAAGTAATAACCAGTAAATATAACCATTAAAATTATAATAATTATAATAAAATTATAATAATATATATATAATAATATATATATAATATTATATATATATATATATATATATATATATATATATAATATTATAATAATATATATTATATATATATATATATATATATATATATATATATATAAAATATATAATATAATATATATAAATTATATAAAATATATAATAAAATTATAATAATAAAATAGATATTTTTTTAAACAAGTGTCTCTTAAATACATTGTGTTATTAAAATAGCATCATAAAGTATACATAAAATGTTTCCATGTTATATTCAGTCCATGTAGGACAGTATGTGCGAATTGTATATTTATTTAGGAACAATTCTATAGAAAAGACAATAATAGGAACGAGATGTAAACCATAAAAAGTTAATCTGTTTTTTAATATCGTAATACTTTCGTTACATTGTAAACACGCACACAACGATAATTACATTGTTATCAAAATACTATCAGACGCGTGCAACGCATGTTATCAATATAACATTCAATATACATTATTCGATAAAAGCTCTAAATCGATATCTCACAATATTTCTCTCTGATATTACAATGACAGTAACACAACAAGTAGATATAACAAAGCAGTGTATAACGTTATATTATATTTATACGAAGTATTTCGTCGAGCGCGACTCGACCAGAAATAAGAGAAACTCGATACAGTCTCGTTACTTAAATACATCCTCGTCTGCTTCCTACTTTATAAATCGCTTTCCAAATCACGTAACATCTAACGATACTGTTTAGCCGAAAACTTAGTAAACTTAGTACTTATAAAAAGAAAAGAAGTCATTTCAGTAAAAGTTTTTCTTACGAGATCGAGTCGCGTCTCGCGGAAACACCTTATATATGTACACTTCGCATTTTTTATTATATTTTTGTACACTTATTCTCGAAAATAAACAAACAGGACGCTCGATATACGTCTGCCTGTTTCTATCATTGGTCTCCCGACTACTATCTGCCCGAAAGTAATGAAGTCGCGGGTGCATATTCGAGTGAAGTTCTAGATCGAGAAAAATGCTCGAGGATTGCGCGTAGACTTTCACTCGAAATCGCCAAACGAATTGCCTACGATTCAGTCAACAGTCTTGGTCCCTAGAAGTCACAGCCATTAAATGCAACGAACGATATGAGATAATAAGGCCACTCGATTTAAAATCATCAGCCGCGAAAACTCGCACAGGGAATGGCAACAGGGAGCGTTATCGCGAAATATCTAGAACACGAGAACAAGAACGACGACGATGACGATGACGACGACGACGGTGGCGACAATAATGCATTCACTGCGCTTTTCGACGTCTCCATGTTTCCAAATAATCTACATTGCACGATTTGATAGCCGAGGGATGCGACGACGAATTCTTCACATCCGGTTACACCAACCGTTAGCTTTCCTTTCTATTTACTGTATAATTACAACTACAACGATCTATAAATATATATATACACACACACACACATACACAAGGTGTCTCAGATTCTTCTCATAAAGTGAATGATCATGCACTATATGCTAGATGAGCTGCTGTGGCGATATATATTATTGTGTTTATATATTAAGTCAAATTGAACAAAAAGTTCTTTATCATTTTACAAGTGACCATGTAGATTTTCAGTTATTAATGAGAAAAAATTATTATATAATTATGCGCGATAATACATCTCTTTTAATTAATATTTAAAAATCTATGGTTATTGCAAAATGGCAGAGGATTTTTTTGTTTAACCTAATGTATAAGTATATAAAGATAGACGGCGTCATTGCAGCTCATATCGCACGTGATCATTCACCAATTTTTTTAAATTAATATTTTGAGATTTATTGCGAATATTGTAAAACGGTATGAGATTTTTATGTTCATCTCAATCCATTCTACTTTCTTACAAAAATTGTAGAAGACACTCTGTGAATATGCGTATATATATATTATAATATATATATATATATATATATATATAT